TTAACTGGGTTTAGACTATATTTAATGTGATTATTGTATCTAGGTGGCTGTAGATTCACTATTTTGCTATTTCCGGTTTGTCCTAATCTTTGTTTCGTTTCTCTCTTTTTCTATCTTATTTTTTTCATGATTCCCATTTTATCACTTTTGGTGATTTATTGGCTGTAACTATTGTGTGTGTTTAGCAATCACTTTAGAGTGTAGTACACAACCTTATCACAGTACACTTTTAAGTGACATACAATTTCACATATAAGAATCGCACAATAGTAAACTACCATTTCTTCTGTCCTGATACTATTGTCTTATATTTTACTTAGCTATATATTAAAGACCCATAAAACATTTGTTATTTTTGCTTTAAGCCACTGATTATCTTTCAGTGAGAAATTTCTGGTGCTTTTCAGTCCTTTGTATAAACTCATATTTTCCCCTAATATGGTGTTCCTTCTGTGTGAATTGCTTCCAGTAACTACTTTTTTTTGTGTGGGTCCAATGGTGATGAATTCTTCCATCCTTTTTTGCATGTTTGAGAGTCTAGAAGCCTTTGTTTTTTGAAAAAGATATTTGCTAGATATAGAATTCTAGTTTGACAAAAGATGTTGCTTTCCTATATTCTGGGTTGCATTGCTTCCAACAAGAAATTGCTATTTTCTTTTTTTCTGTATGTTTTTTTTTCTCTAGTTGCTTTAAGTTTTTTTTAATCTTTATTTAACCACTCATTTCAAGCAATTTGTAATGTGCCTGCATTGTGTAGTTGTCTTGTGTTTCTTGTGCCTCCGTTCCTTAAACTTCTTGAATTCATAAGTTTATTATCATATTTGGAAAATTAATTTTCAGCCATTCAGAATTTTTATGCCCTCTAGGCACTTGAGTTATGTGTTTATTAGTCCCTTTGAAATTATTGTACAACTCACTGATGCTCTGTTTGTTTTTTTTTTATGTTTTGCATTATTTTCCCCTCTTTCATTTTGATTCTTTTGCTGTATTTTCAGGTTTATTAATCTTTCTATAGTGTCTAGTCTGCCTTTAATCCCATCCAGTGTATTTTTCATCTCAAACATTCTCTAGAATTTTATTGGTTTTTTTTTTAATCTTTCATGTCTCTACTTGACATTTTCAATCTTTCCTCTAGTTCTTTGAACATATGAATATAGTTATAATTTAATACCTTTGTCTAATTCTCTGTCATTTCTAGATTGGTTTTGACCAGTTGCTCTTCTATTCTGGGTCATATTTTCTTACATTCCTGGTAATTTTGCATCTTGTTTTACTCTATTTTGTATCCTTGTAAACTTTATTTCTATTATGAACATGGTTAAGTTATTTCAATCAGTTTGATTTTTTCAGGCTTTGGTTTTAAGCTTTGTTAGGCAATGTTTATTTAGTGTAGGGCTAGTTTTTCCCTCTACTACTTAGTCAGAAACTTTGAGTACTCCACCTGATACCCTCTGAATTATCAGATTTTTCATACTGGCTTTTTGTTAGTTGTGGGTTTGTTTCCACTCAGGATTACAGTCCTCCTATGGTTTTCTAACTCCATAGTGGCTGTCCTCCAATTGTCTGCTCTGCAACTACTAATGGCTTTGGCCTTCGTAAACTCACAGCTTTCTCTCTGCTTTAGGTCAGCTGCTTGGGACCCTTCCCTGTGCTGTAGCCTGATAAGAGTATCCTTGGGTTCACTTTGTTTCCCATCTCCCAAGGATCACTGTCCTTATTGTTGCTTGATAGCCAGTGTCTCAAAAACTGCCATTTTATACAGTTTTCTGTTTGTTTCAGACAGGAGGGTAAATTTGGCTGGTCCCTGCCAATATCTGAATTTTAAAAACAACACAGAGGGTCAGAAGGTAGTTAATTTGCTTCCGATAAATACACTGAGCTGCTAGTGGAGCCAGGGCTGAAATTAAGGCACCAAGTGAAGAGCTGGTGATTTTCCCTATGTAACAATTTCCTTCATGTAATTAGTTTATCCCTTAAAACCTTATAGTTTAATTTATTTTTATTTTATTTTTATTTTTTTGCTGGAAATACTTACAGATTACATACCCCTGCCTTCTTGAACAGCATATCGAACATATTTAAACTTTGTCATTATTGACTTTATTTATGGTATTCTGCCATGGTTATTAATCCTATCTCACCCAAATCCCTATTTTGTAAAATATTCTTTAATGCTCTTATATTGAAGATTCTGAGTCCTTCTCAATCATCAGGCCAGCTTCTTGCACATTTTTTTCCCTCAGCTGCTGTAATGCAAACATGTATTAGAAATTGCCTAGCATATTCTTCCCCTCCCTCATTGTATAAAAGCAGCTGTACCTCTTCCTGTTGGTCAGGGTCAGTTACTATTGCCAGAATGGTGTTTGTGACTGCAATCCAAAGTGATTGGCCCCCATAGCTTTTTCTTTATGGATCTCTCTATCTCACTTTCCGCAAGAGTTACCCCTTTGAGAACTAGGATCTCTAACCCTGCAGAGCTGAGTTGTGAGGATAGAAAGCACAGAGTCCTCCAATGGTAGTAGGGACACTCTTGTTTCTCTTCCTTACTTCCTGGACCCATGTTTTCTTACTTGGAGAACAACATCATAGAGAAGTTCCTGGTGTAATACATTTACTCCGTCCTGAAAGATGGCACTGCGTTCCTACAGAGGATTGCCTCTGAGTTGGTGCTTCATCTGTGTCTTCAAAGGCAATTCCAGTATTCTGTGAGGCTGGCTGTTTGGCTATTTCAGGATGCAGTAATAACCAGTGAATTCCCTGGCCTTAGACTTTACTCCTACCATCTTTCCTGTGAAGTGTATCCCTTGGTTGGCTGTGGTATACAGGATTCCCTACCTGGGGGCTGGCCATTCTATAAGGATGGTGGTGCTGGATGAGGCTTCGTGGATAGAAAAGATAAGCTTGTGTCTGGAATAGCTACCCCTGTTCTGGATGGAGTGAGTCCAAAGTAGTCCAGGTAGACAGTCACTGAGAAACACCATGCCGGGGTGTTAGCATTTGCTGACAGATTAGCTATTCAAAGGCAGCAGTAGCTAGATTAACTTGGTACATGCTGTATAGGGTAGGTGTATACTCTGCCCCATCTGCCCTCTACACTCTGACTCTGCCCTTTAGGGCTGACCTTCTTTGGAGGTTTGGATAATGGGAGACCCCAGCAGGGAAAAGTTGAATGAAATTCCTCCAGTTCCCTCCTTTCCAAGATACAGTTGGGCAGAAGCTGTGAATTTTACCAAGGGTCACAGCTCCTCTCACAGCTCTAAGCTTTCACAGGGTTCTGAGAACATTTTTTTCCCTCACTCTTCAGCTAGACAGGGTGGTAATAATGGCTTCCCACTGTAAATAGCATCAGAGTACTTCAGTATCTGGCTGGCTTCCCTTCATCCCATGTAAATTGTCTATATCTTTTCCTTCTAGGATCACAACTTGCACATGTAAGAGTGATTTCTTTCTTGCCTTTTAAAATGAGTTGGGGGCAGTAACATTTTTCATCTTAATGCATTTATTGAGCACTGACTCTGTGCCAGATAGTGTTCTGTTCTTTGAGAAGACAATGGTGAATGATAAGGGGATATGGTTAAAAGGTAACTTCAATGATAAATGCTCCAACTATGTGCCAGATAGTGTTCTGTTCTTTGAGAAGACAGTGGTGAATAAAGAGTATGTGGTTAAAAGGTAACTTCAGTGATAAATGCTCCCATTCCCTAATCAGTCCTTCTGCGAGAACTAAAGATAGAAGCACCTTCAATTAGGCAGTCTGGGAAGGAAGGCCTTTCAGACAAGAGGCTGAAGACCTGGAGACCTTGACCTGAAGGATAAGGAGGAACTTGCTATTCAAAGATTAGGGAGGAGGATAATCCAGAAGGCGAGGTAGCAGGGAAGAGCAAAGGCCCAACCGTCCAATGAGCTTGGTTTGTTCAATACACAGAAGCCTCTTGAATACAGTGAACAGTACAGGCACTAACATTAACATAAGTTTCTTTTTTTAATAAGGACAATTTACATGTGTTTATAGTAAGAATGAGTACTAACTTGTAATATGATGTTAGTCCCTTTAATGAGTAGATGATCAAGTTTGCTTAACAGGTACTTCACATTTATTGACCATACAGTCAATTTTAGCACAAGGCCAAGACTGTATAACCATCCAGCCATAACCCCAATTTATGCAAGGCCACAGCTACAAAGTTGCAGATGTGAGATGCCAAACACCTTCTGTTTCTTATCAAGCAATTTCTAGGGTACCTTTGCCCTCAAGGAAGCAGGAGGAACCTGTTAGCTGTAGGCTTCAACAGTTTTAAGAGAGAAGTAATCCATCTGCAAAAAAATAAGATATCCAGAAAAATGAGAAAGAAGAGAGAGACATCTTTTTCTAAAAGACAATCTCAGAGTTGTCCTAATTACAAAGATCTAATACGCTAGTGGTGGTTAATTGGATACCAGAGGAGTTGCTTGGGACCCATTTTGGGCTATAAATATGCCTGATAGGACTGCCAGCAAGCAGAAAGCCTTCCTCTCCTCTCCTGCCAAGACTGGGCCACTTCTGCAAGTAAGTTTTATTCTTTTCTCTGGACACAACTGTATCCAGAGCTTTTCTGCCTTAACTCCATGATGTAAATATGCAGCACGATGGCAGTTCAGGTTAAATATGACACATACTAGATGACTATTTTTGGCTGAGTTATGTTTCTACCGCAAAATTAAGTCGTCGAGTTCAGAAGCTGGAGTTCCTTTCCACATCTTTTCCCATTTGTTATAGTCTGTTCTCAACTAACTTCTCCCCTTGGGTCAGAAACTAAGTCTTCTCATCTTGTTTCTAGCACCATACCTGACCTATAATACATGGTGAGAAAATTAAGATTCTAACAGGCATCTTTGTCTCAATCTGGATTCTGACTGCGTCTCTAAATGCCAATCTGCAGACGTCTCTTTTGGCCGCCAAGCGGCGCTAAGCCACCATCTAGGACCGAGCCACTGTTTTCCTCAGGATTTGGAGTTTGAACTTTTATTTAAAAGTGTCCGAAAGGTTAAATCACAAAAGTTTAGGTGAATGCTCCCAAGGCACAATTGGCGCTCCAGAATGAGTGGGCTGCAGAAGACGCACTGACTCTCTGGACGCATGTCGTACTTTTGGGGATCGCTGTGAAGACCATGGCCGGGAAGTCACAAAGGCGCTCACGCCGGGATGGATGTAACCTGGAGCCCGGGCCAGGTGAGGGCTGAGGGCGCGCTGCGCACTGGGTCAGTCTGGCTCACCCGAATGGCTCTCAAAAGCTGACTCTCTTCTCGCCCCCGCCCCTCGCCGAGGGAGAACGACCAGGCCGCTCCTCCCCTGGGTGGGTCCCGGCTCCTTTTCTGGCAGGGTCTATTTGCATAGAGGAAACTGTCCAAAGTGGCCGCTGTGGAGGAGCTGGCGAGGAGAAGGGGGCGTGCGCCGCGATCCGCTACTACCCGAAGGCCAAGCCCCGCGCTGGGACGTCCTGGTGCCTCGGGCTCTCCTGTGCGCTCAGTCTGCTGCCCCAGTTCTGCGCGGTACCCTCGGAGAGCCCTCGTGCGACAAGCGCGCCATGAGCCTAGGCGAGCGCGCTGGTGGTGGCGGCAGCGGCGACGACGCGCAGAAGAGCAGCCCCGCTGGGAGCGGAGGCGGAGGGTGCCCCGCGACGACCGCCGGGTCGCGGGCGGTGAGCGCGTTGTGCCTGCTGCTCTCCGTGGGCTCGGCGGCCGCCTGCCTGCTGCTGGGCGCCCAGGCAGCCGCGCTGCAGGGCCGGGTGTCGGCGCTCGAGGAAGAGCGGGAGCTCCTGCGGCGCTCGGGGCCGCCGGGCACTCTGGACGCCTGGGCCGAGCCGCACCTGGAGCGCCTGCTGCGCGAGGTGAGGCGCTCGGGAGCGGGGCAGGGGTGGTCCCAGCAGAATCCGGGGACGGGGGAGCTGGGGGAAGGTCAGTGCTCCGAGAGCCAGGGGCGGCGTGTCTGTTGCCCTGAGGAGGGGTCGCCCTGGGGCTGGGCGCTGTAGAGGACATCTAGGAGGCCCACACCGAGATGGAGACTGGGGCTGCCGGCCCAGAGTGGTCCTGCTGTCTTTGCTCCCTCCTCAGAATCTTCTGCCAGGGTTTGCGGATAGGGGGAAAGAGAGCCAAAAGAACCATTTAGGGGTACAGCAGGGGAAGGGAAAATTAAGACCACAGACTTGGAGTAATTGTCCTGGGAGCTGGTCTTCTCAGTTGTGTGCACTCGGACACAGGACTTCCCGCCTGCGGTGGAGAGCCCCAGATAATGACAAGGCTCACGCTGGAAGTGTCCGCAGACTCTAGTTCCCATCTCTGGTCTACCTGAAGCAGCCGGTGGCCGCAGTAGAGGGAAACTTCAGACAAACTTCAGGGTCTTGGAGGGGTCGCATTAGTCCTAGGTGCTAACTAAAGTTTGGAAACTAAAGTTTGGAAGCAGCTCCATCCTGGATATGCTGTGCCCCCAGGCTGCCGTGACTGAGTGCGGTGTCCACATTAGCTGGGTAGGTTGAGGGGAAGTAAAAACAAGGCCTGACATCTGCATTCTGGTTTCGAGTGATGCCACCTGAGCAGTGGGGACGCATCACATCCTGAGTTGGCACACCTGCAATACGAATTTGATCCATCCCCCAACCCCAGGTTGGTAATGTCCTGTGAGTCTCTGAGATTCGTCTAAAGAGTTAGGATTGCTGTCTTCAGAGTAGGAGCCACATTTGGGACCTCAAAGTTGGTTTTAGTTTCCGAGTTTGGTGCATTAGTTCTCCCCATAGAACAGGAACAGGCACCAATGCACTGGCCAGAGCTGCTTTTGGCCTTGCCATCTCCCCTGCCTGAGTGGTCTCTTCCTCTTGGGAAGGGTGGCTACCCAAGATCCCAAAGGACATCCTCAAGTGCTGTAGGAAATGAGGCAAGTGTTTCATGGTAGAGGAAGGGAGGGCAGGCCTGTTACCACCAATTCCCTAAACCATAGCCTACTGTGATCCTTACTAATATGTCACGCTGTGTAGAGCTGGAGATGTAGCTTGGTGGTAGAATGCTTCTTTAGCATGAGCAAGGCCCTGGGTTCCATTCACACCATCAAACATATATTGCACTCTGTATCCATTGTCAAGTTAATCTGGCATCTTAGGGAGAATGGAAGAACACATATCATACCTCCTTGTTCACCACACCTATTTCTTAGTCAGTTTAAGCCAGTTTTACATCTCTTTTACTTGATTCTGGGCAAAATTGCTGTTTCCTAAAATGATTTCCTCTTTTCCCCCTTGAAAGTGCCTACAGACTTCAAAAATTTCCCCAAACCCTGCTGGCAACTCCTGGCAATGGTTTTATTTTTTTTTTTAAATTTTTTTTTTTAAAGAATTTTTTAATGGGCTGGGGGTGTGGCTCAAGCGGTAGCGCGCTCGCCTGGCATGCGTGCGGCCCGAGTTCGAACCTCAGCACCACATACAAACAAAGATGTTGTGTCCGCCAAAAACTAAAAAATAAATATTAAAAAAAAAAAAAAAAAGAATTTTTTAATGTTTATTTATTTATTTTAGTTTTCGGCGGACACAACATCTTTGGTTGTATGTGGTGCTGAGGATCGAACCCGGGCCGCACGCATTCCAGGCGAGCGCGCTACCGCTTGAGCCACATCCCCAGCCCCATGGCAATGGTTTTATAATTGCTGTCTATTATCTTTTGGCAAATCCCTAGAGACCAGGGTGTTGAATTGATTTATGGAGGGCCCGTAAAGTTTCTACCTGTGAATGCTATAACTGCAGCTGTTCTTTCTACCATGAGGCCCTGCGGACTTAGTAAAAATAAACCACAAGCCCTTATTGAGTAAATCAGAAGGCCTGGTAAAACCTTTTAATATGGAACTTAACAAATTATGTCTGTACTAATAGGGATGGGGGGTCTTGGGAAAGTAGCCACTGCTCAGAAATGTTGATTCTTTTAGTCCTGAACTTCAGTGGGGAAAGACTACTTCATCACACTTCTGTCAGAATGTCACTTGGGTGGACTGTGGTGATTGAATAATGATTTAGAGGACAGAGATGGTTTAGTGGTCAGAGCTCAGCTGCCCTCTCCTCCTCCTCCTCCTCCTCTCCCTCCCACTTCTTTCTCCACCTACTATCCCCTCCCCTTCTCTCCTCCCTTTCTTTCTTTCTTTCTTTTCCCCCTCTCTACCACTCTTGATTAGAAAGGCAAAGGGAAATTTTAGAATCCTGAGATTCCTACTCAAGATTTTGCTATACCCTTGGACACATCATACTACTAACTATGCAGAGTTCAGTATCTGGGGTACTTGTATTGTGCTTGCCCACCTTGCCTTGCCAGTGGAGAGTCAGAGATGGCTCCATGTGGATGCCAGTTGGTATTGAGCTTCTGGTTGTTGAGGTGTCCCCCATGAGTGGGCATCTCTCTTTCTGGACATCAATCAATTCTTGCTACTAGCTATGCTTCTTGTAAATGTTGCTGGATGGGAAATGTACACAGCTTCGTGACAGTGAGTTCCCTGGCTGAGATGAGGGTACAGTGAGAGGCCCATTATGGGGAACCAGTAATTGGCTTTAAATAGATGTGTAGTTACTTCTTTGAACCGCTAGATACAAAGGATAATTAAATATCGAACTAAAAATCTTTTAAGGAAAGAATGTTTGTACTTGAACTTTTTTTTTTCCTAAGCTCAGATTTGTTCTCAGTGGAGCCTCTTCTAAGTCAGTGCCGAAGCGATTATGTGTGAAGGTGCCTGTGGCTTGTCTTTTACCAACAAACTCATTTTCAGAGTATCAAAGGCAGAAACCCTGCCCAAATTAAAAAAAAAAAAAATCCTTGCCAACCACACACAACTTTAATGTCAGGAAAAAGAAAAGAAAGCCAACAAAAGCCACTGTTAGGAGGAGACCCACTATCCTTGTTCCCTTGGGAACAGAACTGTGACATAAATTTTTCTGGGACTGGCTGATGTGCCTGATAATGTAGATACAGAAGCTACAGAAAAGAAATATTCTTGTTATTGCTTGATTATTAAAGACCCTTCCCATGGAACAAAAGGGAATAAATGGTTTTTAGGATATAAACACAAAATTTCTGAGCAAGACCCATTCCTGATAGTGTCTTCAGTGTAATTTGAAAATATGGACACAAAACAAACATTTGATATTTCACTATGAAAGTACTGTTAAGTAGGTTGCCTAATTAATCAGTCTTCTAGTTACTGTGTTACAAAACTAACACAAAAAGTGTTACAAAAGCTTAGGCTTTAAAGTGCATAGCTTTTATATTACAGTAAAAAATTTAATGCAAGGATTAAAGAAATATTTAGTTGTATTCAGAGGAGACCATTTCCAGCTTACAATGGATTTATTGTTGGCTGTTGGCCTTCCATTGTCCAGACCAATCAGTTTGAAAACAAGAAAAGCCCAGAGACTGGGAATAAAATTAAAGTGCTTTCCTTCCCTACCATCAACTATGTATATTAGTGAAGTTTCTATCAAACTCAAAATCAACTGTAGCATTTCCAGCCTTTGTAGCAGTGTATCTACTTGTCAGAACAGCTCTGTGGTGTCCATTCTAATAAAGATGCCTATTTTTTAATCCCTGCACAACTAGAGATAGAGTGTAAATCATAACTACTTTTGTTTCTTTGGCATTTCTTGGCTCCCAAACCAAAAGAAAAAAAAAGTTTCCTTCCAATTACTTTCTGGCATGCTTACTTTCTCCACTCTTTTCTTGCCTTAAAAAAAATTTATTTTAAAGGCCACAGTTTGGAAGAGCTTTATAATAATAGCAGCATGTTTAGAACAGGCCAACTGTTGGTGTGTTCTTTTCAAAGTCAGTTTTTGGAATTTTTGAGTTGGATGTTTCCACATTGGCTCTGAAGATTCAAGGCACAGCTCCTGAACCAGGAGACACGGTGAGCTGAGTGAATTCCTCACCAGGAGGCAGAGCAGGGCAGAGCAGATGCAGCTTCTCATCATCTGGGGAGAGTTTCAGATCTGTCCCACTAGTTAGAGCTGTCATCCAGCCTCTTCAGCTTCCTGAGCCTCAGCTTCCTCCTCTATAAGGTGGTTACCAGTAGTCACTGGTATTTCATTATAGTAATGGGAAATGAACTAGTACAATCAATGTATATACTTGTGATGGCAGGTAATGGAATATCTGAGTGTGGTTGCTTAAACATGACAGTCACTGAATCGTATAAGAAAAGCCTGGAAGAAAGTTAAGATATCTTGGGTTAGTTCAATGTCTTGGTCACACCCGGGTGCCAGATTGCATCTGCCATTCTCTTGTCCTTTCCTCATGAATGCAAGATGGCTGCTGTAGCTCCACACATGTGTCTTTAAACCAGAATAGCCAAGGTTGGGAAGGGAAAAAGGAAAAAGCTTTTTGTGAAACTTTTTCTTTTATTTAAATCAGGGGGGAAATCTTTCCCATCATCTTCCTGTAGAATTCTCTTATAGCCATCAGCCCAAACTAGGTCACATGGTCACCACCCTTTCACTGGCAAGGGTAATGGGGTTGCCAATAAAGAGGCTTTGGCCAATCTTGATTCATCGCCTGAGGCTGGGCACATTGCCACTGGAATAGAATTAAGGCTTTGTTAGGAAAGAAGACTGGGAATGGCTATTGGGGAGCAATCAAGAGTGTCAGCCAGGTCCTACAGAATGCTGTCACTACTGTCACTCCAGGGGAGGACAAGATGTCCTCCAAGGAGAAACGAGTCAATGACGGGGAGGCAGTCATTTTTTTGTCCTGTCAACTTTAACAAGTACGTATTCCTTTCACCAAACTCCACACTTTGGGAACACTCTCCAACCACAAAATTGATGTCTCTTTCAAGATTCTGCTATCTACATCCAGCTCTGCTTCCAGACAT